AACAGATTAGATAGTGGACTGGCGATTTTGGAAAAGTTCGGGATAAAGCGTCTATAATATCCCGCGAGTCCGAGAAACTGACGAATATTTTTTAATGTTCGTGGAGTTGGAAAGTTTTTTACAGCTGTTATCTTATGAGGGTCTGGACGGACTCCGTCTTCTCCAATCACGTGTCCCAAGTAAGCTACTTCGTGGTGAAGAAATTCGCACTTATCTGGCTGAAGCATTAAATTACTATCGCGTAATCTTTGCATTAATTTAGTTATTTTTATTTCGTGTTCTCTTATAGAGCTCGCGTACACGACGATGTCGTCCATATAAACGAACATTTCTATTCCCTGTAGGCCAGTTAATGCTTGATCCATAAGTCTTTGAAATGTCGCGGGCGCGTTTTTTAGACCGAATGGCATGCGAGTGAATTGATAGTGCCCGTGCGGAGTCGAGAACGCCGTTTTGTGCGCGTCGGAAGGATTCATTGGGATTTGGTGAAATCCACTAGCAAGATCCAGTACTGAAAAATACTTGGCACCCCCGAGTTGGTCGAGGATGTCGCTAATATTTGGTAAGGGGTAAGCATCCCCTATCGTTCTCTCGTTTAGTTTTCGATAGTCGATAACCATACGCCACCTTTTATTTCCTAATGAATCTGGTTTTTTCGGCACGATCCAAACTGGTGAATTATAAGGTGAAACGGAGGGGGTAACGATTTCTTTAGATATCAATTCTTGTACTTGTCGTGTTATTTCTTGACGATGCACCGGAGGGAATCGATATTGTTTAGTATGAATTGGTAAGTCGTCGGAGGTAACGATTTTATGCGTTTGTAAATTCGTTTTATTGAGGTACTCTCCAGGAATGCAGAATCTATCGCTGTGTAATTTTATTAAGTTAATTACATGTTCTTTTTCAAAAGCGCATAAATGATCGAGTCGCAACAATTGTATTATGTTAGATACTCTATCGTATTTTTGAGTCTCATTCTTAAGCTCGCGATCTTGTGAATATTCTTCGCTATTCTCAACTATATATTGTGACATACTCGTAAAACTTGTGACAGTAACGCTTCGTTTTACTATATTAATGCTAGACGAACTTAATAAAATTTCCTTATTTTTAGGCGCGCATGACGCAAATGGTATAGTGGTTAAGCTTCGCATGAGAGGAGCGTGTCCCTTGGAGTCCTCAGGAGGGAATGGTACGTCAGTCGTGAGACAATTATTATTGTCGACGACTGGCGCACAGAAAGATCCCTCATGGGTACTCATAGCGCTAGGCTTAACAGAATTAGTAATGTGTGAAAATTTAGAAAATTTAGTAGTGGGAGAGTTGGAGGCTATGTAAGTAGCCTTATGATTAGTAGGGGAACGCTGTCGGTCGAGGCCGGCAGTCTTTTTTGTCGTGCTAGGAATTATATTAGTAGTTTGGTGAAGCGTCTGTGCCTTATTGGCGTTAGCGAGAGAATTATTAGTTTCATTAATTTTCTTATTGGGTGAACTCGACTGTGAGATGTTGTGAGTACTGAAAATTTTTGAGATTTCAAGAGAGTTAGTAGGTTCATTTGAACGAGGTTCCTCAATAAAATTAGTGAGATATGGAGGTGTGTGAGAGATTTCAGCGACTTCTAGGAGCTGAATGGTAGGTATTAGTATTTCTACTTCGTAATCAAGAGTGTTAGTAATTCTTATATATGCCTTATTATTTATGCAGGTGACGATGGCATCTCCTACGAGAATGCCTTCGTGAAATCTTAAGCGAGGAAGGTATCCAGTTTTGATTTCTGGGTTTGATACGCGGATTATAAATCCGGAGTTAGTTCGTGCTGGGAGAATAATAGATTCTCGTTGTTTAAATGGGAAGGTACGACCACGCCAAGTAATTTTATGATTGGCATAGTTAATGCATGCACTATGTTCAGTAAAGAAGGAGGATCCCAATATTCCCTGTGGGATTATAGGAAATTCGTCTGGGACAACATGGAAGGTTACTGGGACTCGAGAAATGTAAGCCTTTATGGAGCCAAGAGTATCGACGGCGTCTTCCGTTATCCCGGTAAGTTGTAATATCTCATTATTATTAATGATTATATTATCATTAACACAATTCTTTTTTATAATATTAGGCTGAGCTCCTGTGTCCAGCATAAAGGCTACTGGTCCTCGGAAGGAAGGAGAATCGAGCTCGACGACGGGTACATCCCCATTATCGGCTCTGAGTACGTGGATTCCTCTGGGCTGCATTCCAGCGAGAGGACGGGACGCACGTTTCCCAGACCTCGGGTGGTCCCTTTGGCTGAGGCCTCTGGGTAGTTTCCCGACACCGGAGGGGTGAGTGTAGTATTGGTGTGGCTTTTGCCAGCATTATTTAAATAGAACTGTCGTTTGCGACACTCGTTAAATAAGTGTCCGAAATTTTTGCAGTATGTGCATATTTTTCTTGCGGCGTTATCAGTAGCGCCAGTTGGGGCGTTGGCGTTGGCGTTGTTATGAGGTGCAGGAGAAGAGGCACAGGCGGTATCACGTGGGGAGACCCGAATTGGTGCTGAATTATTATTGTATCCTGTATCATTGCGCGTATTACGACTGTTTCTATAACGTGCTTCTTCTCTTTCTAATCTTTTGTGTATTGTTATAACTTTCGAACAAGCCTCCGCGAAATTTGTGTAGCCTTCGGCCTTGAGCTCGGTTCTATACTCTCGCGGGAGTCCTTCAAAAAATGCTTCAAGCGCGTATGAGTCGATAGCGGAAGTTTCTATTTCTGTTAATGTGCGATCGAGATTAGTTTGATCTCCCTCTATAATGGCGGTACGTAAATCCTTAATACGTCCTATGTAATCTAATATGTGCTCCCCGGTTTTCTTAAATGCAATACTTAGTTGCCCGCGGTAATAATTAGAGCTTCTACCGGGACCGAATGTGCGTTTTAAGGTATCGAGAAATTTACTAACGGTTAAATGAGTCTCGTCTTCGACTGCTAGGTACGCATGATGTGACAATTTATTTCGTAGCATTCGTACAAGAAGTGTTTCGTCTACCAATGGTACCGCTTCTTTTGCTCTTTTACAGGCGCGCGCAAACTGCCATACCGGTATATTGTGACCGTCGTATTTAGGCACGAGTTCTAACGCGTCGCGTATATAGGATTTTGGATATGTCGCGAAGTTAGGGGACATAGTAGCGTCGATAGGTGATGTTAATAAGTTTGAGTTACCGATGGGAGTCCCGAAGTTTAAAGGCGGAGGGGCGCTATGCGTGGGAGTGGAGGCGGTGAATTCAGGAATTTGGAGATTTGTTATTGCATCGGAGAGTGATCGCAATACATTGCGGAAGGCTTCTGCGCGTGAATTCATTTCGTGCTCTCTCTCTCTTGCATTTTTAATAGCCTGCTCGTATTCCTTGCGTAAGTCTTCGGGAAGTAAATGAGTTTCGTCGTTACTGTGGTCATCAGAATTTTCCCCGGTACCGTCCATTATGTAGGAGTTTTAATTTAAAAGAATTTTTTTTTTGTAATTAGATTTTTTTTGTTTCAGGTACGCCTTGTGGTTAAGGCCTGGCTTAATTTGAAGCAATAATTTGAGTTTATTTATTAATAATTAATCCTTATTCTTTGTGTAATTTAATCATGAATGTAAAATTTCATAGTATTTCAAATATGTGTATTTATTCCGATAAATCATGTATCATGATTTCTCTATTCTTTTCCATTAATGTAGAAGATTGCTAATTCAGCGAGTGTTTTGTAAATATATTGAAAAAGACAATAAACGTGGAGAAATAATTATTCCACGATATTCGTTCATACGGATTTTAGTGGGGTTATATAAATCATCGAAAGTTAAATTTTTGATCAGTAAATATAAGTGAAAATCGTTAAACGTGTCTGAACAATTTTTGCACTCTGCAATGGCCTGTGACAAAGCAAGTTGCTTGTTGCACATGCTGCATGTGGGGACGAACCCTTGTCTACAGATTAAGATATAATGATTAATAATAAAGTGACAAGTTCTACGCTCAATTTAATGACAATTGATTAAAACAATTTACGCAAAGATCTCTTGGATCGTTTTCGCGTTGATACTTGAGTTCGACTACGCAATTGGATCTACTAACGTGATGCAGGTATATAGCTGCGGGATGAGATACGCGTTGAGCTTTTGGCGCGTGTATAAATATGCACATTATATGCAAGAGTGAGAGGATATAGTTTATAACTATCAAGGGGAGGAAAAAAAAAGGAAAAAAAAAGGATGTGAGAGCTTTAATAGTGGCGTAGCAGGCGCCCAATGTTTGGACTTTCCAATTTTATTGGGAGATTTACAAGATTAATTGAGAAGTATTAACACAGAAGATTACGAATAAGATAATTATATGGAACCAAAATGAGTGCTGAAGGAAAGGTGGCTTTTGTTTAGGAAAAGAAAATGTGTGCATATAAAGGTTTCGATGCAAGAATTATTATCGAATGATGGAAACATCCCACCGCTGTCACCAATTTGTCGCGTCCGGGTGACGAGGATTTTATCGTTTGTTGTGTTTTGATATTAATATTGACTTTATGACTTTACGAGGATGTTTGCAGTGGCGCGTGAGTTAGAGCCTCGGCTCATTGTGTTCCGCTTCGCTTCCCTTGTTAATTTCTCTCTATTTTTCGAGGCTCTGTCAGTCCCGAGCGGTGAAAGAATTCACCATGATATGAGGGAGTCATCATTCAGAGCTTTAGAGAGGAAGGGAAGTGAAGGGTAGTAAAAATAAATTTAAACGCATTTTACTTTTATATACATATATTATTTTAATTAATTATTATCCACTATTTTAATATTTAAATTAATTTTCTCAATTTTAATTACTCGCGGCTTTTGTCGGTTAGTTAATTTTGGTGGTGGGCAGTACACCTTTTGGGGCCTGGTTGCCTTCCTGGTGGGAGCTTCCCAGGATGGAGAAGGAGGTTTTTGAGGAGGCTTTGGAGGAAGTGGGAGAGGTGGAAGAGGGGTAGGAGGAGGTAAATCAGGTGGGAAGATTGAGGGATCGAACTCCCCGTGATAGGCGTATGCCGCTACCAGTCGCGCCAACTGGCGCTTTACGCCTCCGCGTCTGCTGCGTTTCCGCGGCCTCTTTCTTTGCTTGCGCATCTACGGGAAAGGAATAATTTATTCTTGATGGTATACATTGTGTGTGAGTGATGTCGTCCAGAGTTTGGCGTGTAAAGGCTTGCTTTGGGGTCCAGGTAAAGAGAGAGGGGGAATAGTCGCGTGACAGACGCACTTTTGAATGAGCGCTGTACACGAAAGTGTAAGGGAGATAGAAGGAGTCGTGTGACAACGCACCTCGAATGAGCGCTGTACACGAGAGTGTATGGGAGATAGAAGGAGTCGTGTGACAACGCACCTTGAATGAGCGCTGTACACGAAAGTGTAAGGGAGATAGAAGGAGTTGTGTGACAACGCACCTCGAATGAGCGCTGTACACGAGAGTGTAAGGGAGATAGAAGGAGTCGTGTGACAACGCACCTCGAATGAGCGCTGTACACGAGAGTGTAAGGGAGATAGAAGGAGTCGTGTGACAACGCACCTCGAATGAGCGCTGTACACGAAAGTGTAAAAAAAGACCTGATGTAATATTGCCATCAGAATGAATTACATCGGTAAAAGATGGAGGACAATATACTCTTTCTTCTGCCAAAACTATCTTTTCAGAAATACGTAAAAAATTATGCAAGCACACTGTAGCTGCAACAATTTTTTCTACAGTTTCCACATCAGCAATAATATTATTTCGTAATATTCGCCATCTTGATGACAAAATGCCAAATGCATTTTCAATCGTTCGTCGTGCTCTTGACAATCGAAAATTAAAAATTCTTTTTGAAATATCTAAATTCTTTCCAGGATAGGGCCTTAGAATATAAGATTTTAACGGAAAGGCTTCATCTCCCTCAAAAAAATATGGAAACATACTATTTGTATTTGGCAGTGGCGAATCTTCTGGTAAGCTTATTGCACCAGATTCTAATGCTCGTCCAAAAGTTGACTCTTTAAAAACACCTCCATCACTTTGTGAACCAAAGGCGCCAATATCCACAAGTGTAAATATATAATCAGCATCACAAACAGCTAGTAATATGATACTAAAAGTTTTTTTATAATTAAAATAGGCACTTCCAGATTTATTTGGAGCCTGAATAGTTATGTGCTTTCCGTCTATAGCACCACAACAGTTAGGAAAATTCCATTGTTCAGAAAATTCTTTACTCTTGTTTTGCCAATCATCAATTGTCGGTGTTTTTAAATAAATCGGAGAAAGGATCTCCCAAATAGCTCCATATGTTTCTTGAATGATTACTGATGCCGTTGTTTTTCCTATCATAAAAGACCACGCCACTACTTACATGCTGCAGCCTTGTGCTAGATAACTAAAATAATAATTTATGTTACATTATTATTTGTAAAAACAACTAGATTAAATTAGATTTAAAACAATAATTTATATTATAGTTTATAAAAATGATTTACACATACTATACAATGTAATAACAAGTCTGTGTTCAGGACTTATCGGTGGTCGATTGCTATGCTTCACTAATTTGTGTCGAATAAGATCCAATAATGCATGAAAACATTGGGGTGACATCCTCGTATATTTTACAAAATGTTCTGTATCAACTCTCTTCATGTCAGAAAATAAATTATGAAAATGTCCTTTAAGTCGTCTTTTTCTATTAATTGGACGTACACTCCAACGACGTTTTCTTCTCTGACTTTTTGATGTTCTATTAGTAGTATAAAAAAGACCAAGAATAGTTAAAAACATTCCGCACACAATTATTTCATTTATATCCATTTTAACAACAAATATAATAACAAGAAAGAAGGAAGCACAAAGCGAAGCCTATCGGTCAAAGCTAGATCAAGATGCTTATTATCATTAAGTGTGAATTTATATACCGTGTATGTAGTTCTGTCAATCGCGTGCCGAACATTTTTTCAGACTTACAACGCAACTCTAAATAACTACC